ACTTCACAAGTGTCTTTAAGTTCTCCCTCTACTTTAAAGTGTCTAAAACTGAAAATTATAGATGATATACATTTTGAGTGGGCTTTATGCAAGAAAGATAATGTAAACCTTCAGTTACCAGACTGATCCTCAAAGAAAGCACCTTGGTCCTACCAAATTTGGCAAATAAATTTTCATTTATGTGTTTTAAGTAAAAACTAAAATTGTTATATATACATAAACATACATACACACACACATATACCCCTATACACATTTTAATGATTTTCCATTCTACCTGCATTTTCCAATCACCTAATCAGCTACCAGTCTCCCTCTCATTGGATAAAGGGACTTCTACAGTAAAGATCAGTAAATATTTACTGATGTGATCATTTGATTATAGATTTGACTGTGAGTTCCATTACACCAAGGGGCAAGTCTACCGGGTTCAACCCCAGAGTTCTAGCGCCTAGCACTGGAATGTACATACTCAGTAAGCATTACTCCCAATAAATGAATGAAAGATAATTTCCCTTTACTTTGTGTTGTGCAGACATAGTAGATAATATAGCAAAATATTTAAGCAGATTTCTGAAAGGTGCTGAAAGCAGTGGAAAAAATTATCCCTCAGAACTCTTCTGAGTGTTAACTTCAACCCTGTGGAAGATTGTTCTTCCACAGAGTGTGGGGACGTGTTTCTTTCTGACTGATGGGCTGGCTGCCCTGTTTTGTCTGAACAGGATTCCCTGGATAGTCGTGGATCTGAAGCAGGGAATGAAGGAAGCACTTTTTCCTCTTCTCTCCTCTCTTTATGCTATGAGAAATCTATCCTCCTCCATGATCCAGGCTTAGTGAACATAACAGATGGGTTTAATCCATAAAAATGAAAAACTTTTCCCATTTCAACTCCATTTCCTGCTCCTCTAAGTAAAACAAAGCTTTCCCTGAGGAAATGATGTAAATGCACTCAAATGTTCTTAAAATATGCCACATAGCACAAAATATTGCTATACACTAAACCACGAGTTTTTCATTTACATTTAAAAAGAAATATGAGTGTGGTAGTGGAAAAAATGCAGATTGGAATTAGGACATGCTTTCACTGTGATCTCCCTCCCCAAAGCATCAATTTCCTTGTCTGGAAAATGGGCTTGGTAAAAATACACACCCTACCTATGTTACAGCATTCCTGTGAAGGATCAAAATAAATAACATACATGAAAACTTCTAAAATACTACAAAAGGTAAAGTACATTTTTCCTGTCACTGTTACTACAAGGTCCCCACACCAGATTTCCTCAGTCTCTGCCCTTCTCTGCCTGGCAGGGTACACACAACTCATTGCCTTTCACACAGACACAGGCCATCTTCTGTTACTGCACTTGAGAAGATGCTGGAGTCTACTGATTTCGGGGTAGACAGTCAGGTCCTGCTCCAACAAACCTTCTGGGGAAATCCATGGAACACTCAACCTGTAACTCCTCCCATAGTCTTTTCAAGGCAGATATAGAGAGGGAGCATGAGTCAAGGCCCCTGTAAAAACCATAATTTCATTGCCAGTATGGGTTTAAACAGCTTTGGTATCCATCTGTAAAATGTCATTCCTTTTGGTTCCATCCTAGTAGTTCAAACAACAGAAAATTACAAATCCACCTCCCTCAATAAAATGTATTAAGTCTGCAGTCTCTGTATAATATATGTGCACTCAAGCTACACTAATTTATTCTACAATTATTTTTATTTTTTAGCATTTTTATTTGGCTCTTATGCTACACAATTAATGGTGTTTACATGGAAAGTTTCTCTAATGTAAATGGCATAAGTGGATTATTGAGAAAGCCTTAAAACAAATAAACATTTTTCTCCTTTTAAAATTTTCTTCACTCTCCTCTGAATGTCTGGCACAAGAGCAGAGTTTTTTAAATGTCAAGGGGAATATAGAAATCAGGCTACTGAGATCCATTCTCCCCTGGTAAGACAGACTTTAATTCTGTTTCCTGTAATGGTTGGCCTGGGGGAGTCAACAGCGACCCCACTGACCCAACACATCCAGACTCAGAAGCCAGTCTTTTCTTTGGGAGGTTGCCACTGTTTTTCTCATGACCTTAAACATAACACAATATCTGGTCCCTACAGATGACTTCCCACAGAGTTTGCAGTACTGGGGATGAGACGTTCATGAGATAAACAAATAAGCTCACTATAAAGACCAGAAAAAAACCAGGGAAGGAAACCTACCAGGCTTCTAAATACCTCCACCATCATGATCACATCACCCAGTTGGGGCAATTACTGGGGCTGTCCCTCCTAGTCAAAGTTCATACTGCATGTTTCTTCAGTGGCAGCACAGGGCCAGGTTACTGTAAAATAGAGTTGGCATGAATGACAGGCATTAACTGTCAGGACATACATTATTTTTCTAAGGTGTTCTCAAGAGAAAGTGTTAACAACAAAAGCCATTTCTTTGCTCCTGCTCTCTAAGAGGCAAAGCCTGGCAGGAGGGAGTGAAGATGCCTCACTCCTCACCACACGTCCAGCCCTTAGGAGGTCTTGAAGGCAGCCTCGCTCCAGGTTATCGCTGGAAGAACAGGTAATGTGTTTTCTAAAGTACCCTTGGAGTTAACTCAGGAGTTGCGGACCAGGCTCTACAAGCAGGCTTCCTCTAAAGCAGGCTTCTGTCTCAGAACTGACAGCAAAGCTTGCAGGGCCTTGAGATCTAAGAGGCAACTCAACCCATGTGAGTTCTGAATGGATGTTCCAGAACACAGAGATCCTTACACTAGTCCTATCCAGGTTCCAAGAGCATAGCTTGGAATTAGAGTCCAGACCTAGAGGACAAGATGGAGATCAAGTGCCTGTGACAAGCCCATTTTGAGTGAACAAAATTGCACAAGACCCATGGCTACACTAAGACCTTCATATTCTCTCTTTTTTAAAAAAAAAAATTTATTTATTTATTTGGCTGCACTGGATCTTAGTTTCGGCACTCGGGATCTTCATTGTGGTGTGCGGGATCTTTAGTTGTAGCATATGCAATCTAGTTCCCTGACCAGGGATCGAACCCAGGCCCCCTGCGTTGGGAGTGGGGAGTCTTAACCACTGGACCGCCAGGGAAGTCCCAAGACCTTCATATTCTCTTAAGACTCTTACTTTTCACATCATGTGAACCACGTTAAAATCTATATACATCTCACACTTCATAATCTTGCTATGTAAGATTTTATAATTTTGCTTTTGAAATAATTTAGCTAAAGTAACTAAAATATGCTGTGATTTCTCAACACTCATCATGTATATTTAAGAACTCTCCCTCAGGAAGAGCATCTCATCTAAAAACTGTTTTCAGATATAACGAAATTGTTTTGAACACTGAATCCAGCAATTAATATAGCTGATGCAGTATTACAGTTTGTAACCATTAATAAATGTTTATTAATTTTTATTTTTATTTTTTTTTGCGGTACGTTGGCCTCTCACTGTTGTGGCCTCTCCCGTTGCGGAGCACAGGCTCCGGACGCTCAGGCTCAGCGGCCATGGCTCACGGGCCCAGCCGCTCCACGGCACGTGGGATCCTCCCGGACTGGGGCACGGACCCGTGTCCCCCGCATCGGCAGGCAGACTCTCAACCACTGCGCCACCAGGGAAGCCCAATGTTTATTAATTTTGCTTTGGCAGATTTTTTTTAAATTTTGGAGACAATTTTTCCTGGTCAGCCTTCAGACATTTTCCCAAGCTTAGCTCATATGCCCAGCACTGTGAGTCTTACACCTAGAGGTAAACTGGTCCTCTGGGCTCGCAGCACTCAGCCAAGCTCTCCCAAAGTGATTGGGCATCGATTACAGTGAGTTCTCAGGGATGCCCAGCCATTTCACGGGACTTCCACCCTCAACTAAAACAATCATGAGGAGGTCTGAACAATCCAAGAAATTCTTACTAATTAAATTCAAATTCTGAAAATTTGTGAATTTTTGGCTCTTTGGAGAAATTTACCAGTAACCAATGCTAAAAACCTTCACTGGTGGCCTTGGGTGGAGTCATTCTTCTCGTTCAGTGGATGAAATCAGGTGTCATAAATCCAATTTACAGTATTTCCATTCTCCAACAAGAAATGAGATTTGGAAGCTGATTTGGAGTCACATTTCTAGGAAGCTTTTCTATCACTCCACAAAGTTATGCATGTACCACCAAGGTGTTTATAACTAGACCCAAGATAACTTCTTTAAAGATAACATACCAGCAACTGTTAGGTGGAGCATACTTTGTCGATTGATTTTTTTTTCTTTTTAAATTTTTTTCAGATAAATTAGGTCTTATCAAAGTGTATCAACTCCAAAATAATCATAGGTAGTCTGTTGACAGTCACAAAATCCCCTCTTTTGTTAGCACATGTTGAAGTGATAAAGTTAGAATTTGAAAACTCTACTTTCTAGATGTGCCCTCTAAAAGTTATCACATAACCAATGTGGTTTGTTTAGGGGATTCATTCCTGACCTTGGTTTGTTTTGTATCTTCTCTTAAAGCATTGAATACATACTGAGGGCATAGTGGTAAGCTCAGGGATACCGACATCAGACTGCCTGGGGTGGAATCTCAACTCTGCCATTTTCTAGTTCTGAGAACTAGGGCAAGCTACTAAGCCTCCATTTCTTCTTCTGTAAAATGGTACTAACAATACTTAATAGGATTATTCGCAGTATTAATCAAGTTATGAACGTAAAGCTGATGGTGAGCAATCAATAAGTGTTAGTTTTGAGTATTACTCATTATTTTCTCACACCGGATGCTCGTTATTAATGGTTCCCAAACATGCCAGGTCACTTTTCCGTGGACTTTTTTTTTTAAACAGTGTGGCCTTGGTTCTTGTATCTCTCTTTTCATGCGTAACAGCCCAAGCGCGGCCACCCTTCACAGGGACGATCGGCTCAGACCTGTGATCCACTGATGCCAGCCCGAGCGGCTGCGGGCCGGGGCGGAAGTGCGGGGCGGGCGCCTGCCGGCCGGGGCGGAAGTACCGGCGCACAGCGGAAGCGGCGACCCGAGCAGCCGAAGCTCAGGTGGGTGCCGGTGGTCGGGTGCCGGCAGTTGGGCGCTCGCGGGGCACCCCCTGGAGTCGGCACGCGGGCTGGAGAGGGGGGCACGGGAGCCCCACACTGTGCCGCACGCTGCCGATTTCGATTGTCACTACAGGAAATTTAATTAAACCGGGAGCCATAAATCCGTGAACCTCTGGGGGCAAATTATAAGCGTGAGAGTGTGTGTGTGTGTGCGCGCGCGCGCGCGATGGCGCTCTGGGAAGTGAACAGAATCACGGGTGGAAAAGGTAGCTTTTTAAGAAGCAGCAGAAAACATCATAACTTCATGCTTCTTCCGTGATTCACAGATGCCCTACTTCGGATTTATTCGAGTTTTATGAAGTGGTAATATAATCTCGACTGGCTGAGATGACTGCCTTTTTAAATAAATATTTTTGAGCAACCATGTTGACCTTTAATTGAGGGCTGAAAGGTTTAATCGAGGGTGCTGGCAGGAGCACTGTGAGTCCTGGGGCTCTCTGGACCTCCTGTCTGCCTTTGTTGGGCAAAAGCAGCCCTCTGGGTGCTGAACCACGAGAGAATAAATCAGAGACTGTACAGTTCTCAAATACTTAGCCTTGTCAGTCACCCCTGACAAATACCCCTCATACAATTTTTTTAAGTAAGTCCAGAGTTACAAAAAGTCTCTACTAAATTGCTACTAACATGAATAGGCAAGTGTCTGTTTCTAAGGCTGTTCTGTTGAAGAACAAAGAGTTTTTTGCCTGGCAGGTCTTTATTCTTGTTTCTTAACAGAAAGTATTTTACGTCGTACTTTATATTTTAGAGCACTTAAATCCACAGTATGGCCCAGCTAAACCCCAAGGTTCTCAGCTCCTCCAGGACAGGGATAGTGTCTAAGATCTGTTATGCCCCTCACACTTTCTAGCACATTCCCCAGCATAAGCACGTCTCCTTAACCACACATTACCTTGGTTAGGCAGCCATGAAAGCCATGTCTCAGTGTGGGACTGCTAAAGATGAAGTGGCTATTAGAGGCCACAGTCTTCTCATTTACTAATTATCTCAGGAATACTGTGAAAATGCTTATGAAGCTGTCTACCAATATTTACAGCTGTATGCATTGAGATTTAAAACACTTGGAAAAAGAGGTGTGCCCTGGAAATACTGAGTGGTTATAGTAATATTGGGGGTAAGGCAGAACTAATCATGGTTCTGTGTGAAATGTCGTAGCCTAATAACCTGGGTCCTGTTCTGCTGAGGAATTGCCTGGAACCAAAAAGGTCCTGTTGTGAAAATTAAGGTTGGCGGGGCTAGTGCTTTAGAAAGGTAGACTCTGCAGAGTTTCTTTCTTCGTGCTTATTGTGGTCAGTAGTAGCTACCTGCCAAGGAAGGATCAATACTTTTATGTCTCCTTTATCGGAGGAAAATATGGCTATGTGGTTTTCTTTAGATGGATTGATGGCAGGTAAGGAAATAGAAAGGAGGATTTTCCAACTTGGGAATTTATTGGACTGTATTTCTATTTTATTCCAGATGCCTGGTTCTCACGGACCCTTAAGTACCCAGAGGCAATGTGGAAGTATGCCTTCAAAATAAGGGTTTTTTTATTATTAAGGTTTTTGTATTTCATAACATGTGCATACTCCAGCTGGCTGATGCATTTAGTTACTCTAATGCCAGGGCTCAGGGTTTCACACGTAGTAGGACCTTGAAGAGATCTGGTACAAGTAGTACTTTTTTTTTATGTTCCTTATTTTAAATCTAATTTTGCCACTGCTTTATTCAAGGAGGGTACATCAGAGGAAGCCAAAAGCCAGCTGGAATAGTTCCTGCATGCAGTTTTAATATTGTTTGCAATTATTTTGAAGGGGAGAAACTATCTGGATCCAGGGATGTGTAGCTACACAGGTAGCAGGGACTAGGTGAGCTTCCTTCATCCTTCCCCTAGTATCACATAGCAAGTTTGAGAGACAAAATTATTTGAGGAAGAATATGCAAAGTGAAAGGTTTGGGCTAAGTTTCACGTAGATATTATTCCACATCCCTACCTTCCCATCTCAGTTACAGCCGCAGAGGACTGGAGGCATGAAAACATTACTCTCTTTTCATTCCAATCCTTACCCAAGATAAGATTTCCAGAGATAGAGGCAAATTCAAAATACCTTCTATTTTAAGAAAGGATTTCAGAGCATTTTACCAGTAATATCTAGTAATAACCATTTTACTGCTATAGGCTTCATCACTTTGGTATTGTATTATTTGTAAATCTTTCCCCTACCCAAGGTGTGTCCTTAAGGGCAGGGAAAGTATCTTAATCACTTTTATATTTCTAGTATCTGGCACGGTGCCTGGCACATAACAAACACTCAGTACATGGTATAGAAAGGAGGCTGGATCTTTAAGGAGTATGAAAGCATCACTGGGAATGCAACAAGGTAGAGAAAAGAATATAAAGCAGTAACCTTTCAAGGAGCTACCAGTGCAGTTATAAATGCTGCAGTTACTAATGCCTCGATAAACAGCTTGGAGTAGGGAAGGGCATATTTGAAAATCTACAGATGGTCACCAAACTGCCTTCCAAAGAGATCTAGCCTGATCAGTTTGCATGGTCTTTGTTATACTGAATAGAGTATGCAAACTAAAAGGCCCCACCAGCCCCCTTTCTACTCTCTCTCAAGGCCTGCCATGCCCAGCTCCTCACCCAAACACCTGTTGAGTGAATATTTGAAAAGTATCCATTTGAAGGTATGCCAAATTATTAGCTTACCTAAGCCACTAATATCTTGGTTTGGTCCTGCCTTAAGGATAAAGGACTTATGTTTGTTCACTATTTTAAGGCTAGGTTACCCAAATAATATTGAAGGAAAGCCACAATCATCTTTTCTACTTTACTAACATTTCAAAAGAGTTCAAAGTTGACAGCTTTTTGTATTGTAATAGGGCAGGCATGTGGTATATGCTGCTTCCTTCTGTTGCCAATGGAATTCCAACAGAAACCAGAATGTTACTACTGGAAACAGATGAACTTCCTCTCATTGTTCCTGTACTTTTTCATATTAATCATGAAATAATGGGGAAGTGGCTTCTACTTTAGTCAGAGGGAAGGACATAAGACTGAATTATTTAATTTTTTAAACTCTTTTCTTCTTAAAACATGTAGTTCTTCTAGTCAGCCAAGAGAAAGGCTACTGTTATTTAATAGAAATTTAGTCAGCCAAAGCAGCTTAGGATATAGACTGGAAAAAAAAAATGAGAGAGTTCTAAATTCAGCTCTGTTTCTCCAAGTTCGAAAATAAAGTTAATCTGTATCATCTTAGATTTAGAGATCAGAACCTCTTTCTTATAGTAAAAGAATTCTGCCATCCGAAGCTGAGAGTTTTCCTCATTCTCTCCATCCTTAAATTAAATCTTAAACAAAATGTGATATCTGTTATTCGGTATACTCTGAGGATTCATGTATAAAACTTTTTGAGACTTTTTTTGGAAAAAGGGGGTTGAACTTGGAGGTCCCTTGCAGTTCTGAGAATTCTGTGTTGGTCTCATCATACATAAAAATAGGCACTGTTCAAAGAGAAATATAGAGAAAAAAATTGCAGTATAAAAGGCTTTGGTAAAACAGTTTCTTTATCCATAAAGCAAGGGAAATCTCCAAAGTGTCTTGGCATCCAGTTCCAAAATATTAAGATTTTCTATCAGTGACAAGTTTTAAGTAACAGAATAGGACTCAGAGAATTGCAGAATCTCACATAACTGAGGGTGGCTGAGGCATGACCTCAAGAGTGGATAGTTCCCAACATTCAGGTATTAGTGTCACAAGTCCAAAGAAATGCTGGATTTAATATCTCAAATGTTCCAAGGTCATTTGCTACAAAATGGCTAAAAATGAATGAAGCATCTTTCAGGTCTTGTGTGGTCATGTGGATAACGTGCCTCTTAGGCAAGATGAATTGGAAATGGTGGAGTATTAGTGACAAATGGAAGGCATTGCCTGGGTGGATGGAGTTTGACTCGCGAACAGTTACTTTTGGAAATGAAGTTGTGTGCTTTTTAAATAGCAAGGAAACTGGCATTACTAGCTGGGCACAATAAGACTAAGATGTTTTAATGAAATTGCCTTCTTTCTGGGTCAGTATTAAGTATCAGATATACCTTCAAAGGGAATGGGTCATTTTGGTTAAGAAGGATAATGTGGAGAGGAGGCTGCATAATTCCTTATGTACTTTGTTCCCATCCCTTGAACTAGCATGATTTTGCCATCATCTTAAATGCTATCTTTATGGAATGAGGGAATTTTCAAATTGGTTTTTAAATTCTATTAAGCCCTCATGTATGATATAACCCAACCACATTATTCAGGCTTTCTTGGCTTTCAGCTTTGCAGCCATTAAGTCTTTTTTAACATCTTTATTGTAGTATAATTGCTTTACAACGGTGTGTTAGTTGCTGCTGTTTAACAAAGTGAATCAGCTATACATATACATATATCCCCATATACCCTCCCCGTTGCGCCTCCCTCCCACCCTCCCTATCCCACCCCTCTAGGTGGTCACAAAGCACCGAGCTGATCTCCCTGTACTATGTGGCTGCTTCCCACTAGCTAGCTATTTTACATTTGGTAGTGTATATATGTCCATGCCACTCTCACTTCATCCCAGCTTACCCTTCCCCCTCCCCGTGTCCTCAAGTCCATTCTCTACATCTGCATCTTTATTCCTGTCCTGCCCCTAGGTTCATCAGAACCATTTTTTTTTTTTAGATTCCATATATATGTGTTAGCATACGGTATTTGTTTTTCTCTTTCTGACTTACTTCACTGTGTATGACAGACTCTGTAGGTCCATCCACCTCACTACAAATAACTCAGTTTCATTTCTTTTTATGGCTGAGTAATATTCCATTGTATATATGTACCACATCTTCTTTATCTGTCTGTGGACACTTAGGTTGCTTCCATGTCCAGGCTATTGTAAATAGAGCTGCAATGAACATTGTGATGCATGTCTTTTTTGAATTATGGT